ATGAGATGCCCAACTTGAGGAACTTTAAAGGGGCCTGGTTTTCAGAAAGTGCTGAGCCACCTGGTTATGATGTGATTCTTTGATCTACGTCAGGGGTCGGCACGCGTGCCATAGGTTGCCTACCCCCGATCTACACATTCCAATCTGGGGGCTAGTCTGGATTTATTTCTGGATGTTTTCTAGAAAGCTGATCTTGCTGTTAAGGCATTGAGTTAGGATTTAGGGACTTGAGCAACCCACTTTCCCACCTCATCATGATCATATGGCAACCCCCATGATGGGATGGTTGAGATAATCAAGAGAACACTCCACGGTGAGTAAAGTGGACATAGTTTCTGCTGTTATTGGCTGAAGGCCTTCAACTGTATTGTGACATGTCTGTTGTGAGGTCATCAAGGTGTATGCAGGGGCTGCAGACTGCATTGATCAAGAGAGGCGGCAGGAGGAACAGCTGCCACTTCCAGCCCAGCTGAGTGAGGGGGACCCAGGGAATGGGGTACCACCAGCCCTGCTGAGAACTTGATGCACCGATGACGTTACTCACCCTGTTGAGGGAAACCTGCATCAAAGAAGGGCTTACCACCAGCTCTGCTGAGGGGAATTTTATGAGAGGTTACCAGCCTATGAAGAGAATCCCTCTTGGGCAGAGTGTAACATCATGGAGAAGAATTCACCCAAGCCTGCATTGAAACACCCAGCAATTGGTATCGACTTGGGCACCACTAAATCCTGCGTGGGCCTCTTCCGAGACGGCAAGGTGGAAATAATTGGCAACAACCAGGGCATCCGCACCACGCCCAGCTGCGTGGCCTTCACTGAGACGGGGAGGTTGATAGGGGATGAGGCAAAGAACCAGGCAGCCCTCAACTCTCCTAACATCATATTCAGTGCCAAGCGCTTGATTGGCCGAACGTCTGAAGACCCTGTTGTGCAGGCAGATGCGGCGTTCTGGCCCTTCCAGATAGTGAAAGCTGAAGGAAAGCCCCAGGTGCAGGTGTCCTACAAGGGAAAGGAGAAGGTTTTCTACCCAGAGGAGATTTCTGCCATGGTGCTGGGCAACTTGAAGGAGATGGCTGAGGACTACCTGGGCCATCCCATCACCCATGCCATTGTTACTGTGCCAGCCCACTTCAATGACTCCCAACGCCAGGCCACCAAAGATGCTGGGGCGATCGCTGGCCTCGAGGTGCTGAGGATCCTCAGTGAGACTACAGCTGCCGCCCTGGCCTACAGCCTAGACAACCCTAGCAATGGAGAACACAATGTGCTTATCTTTGACCTGGGCGGAGGAACCTTCAATGTCTCCGTCCTCACCATGGATGGGGGCATCCTCGAGGTGAAGGCCACCTCTGGGGACACCCATCTGGGAGGGGATGATTTTGACAACTGCCTGGTGAGCTTCTTCATAGACGAATTCCTAAAGAAACATCAGGAGGACATCAGCAAGGACAGGAGGGCCGTGTGGAGGCTCAGGAGGGCTTGCGAGGCAGCCAAACGCACCCTGTCCTCCAACATCAAAGCCAGTATCGACTTGTACTGCCTGTACAAAGGGATCGATTTCCACGCAGACATCACCCGGGCCCAGTTCGAGGAGCTGTGTGCTGACCTCTTCCGAGGGACCCTGAAGCCCGTGGAGAGGGCGCTGCAGGATGCAAAGCTGAGCCAAGCTCAGATCCATGATGTTGTCCTGGTGGGTGCCTCCACCCGCATCCCCAAGATCCAGGAACTGCTGCAGGATTTCTTTGGCGGCCGGCAGCTGAACAAAAGCCTCAACCCGGATGAAGCTGTCGCCTATGGGGCAGCTGTTCAAGCCGCCATCCTGATCGGAGAGAGGTCAGAGGTCACGAGGGGCCTGCTCGCCCTGGATGTGGTGTCCATGTCTCTGGGGATTGAGACGGATGCAGGGAAGATGCACACCCTGATCAGACGCAACACTGCCATCCCTGCGGTGGTAACTCGGACCTTCACCACCTTCGATGACCATCAGCCTGACCTGCTCATCCGTGCCTATGAGGGGGAGAGAGCTACTGCCAAGGAGAACCACCTGCTTGGCCGTTTCCGTTTGAAGGACATTTCCCCTGCCCCCCGTGGCATGGTCTTGGTGGAGGCGACCTTCTATATTAACGCAGATGGCATCCTGACTGTGTTTGCCGTGGACAAAGTCGCTGGCAATGCCAACCCCATCACTGTGGATGCCAACAAGGGGCGACTGAGCAGAGAGGAGATACAGAAGTTAGCGGCGGAGGCTGAGAAATACCGAGCTGAGGACAGGGCACAGAAATGGAAATTGGCCACCAAGAACTACCTTCAGTCCTGCGCTTTCAGCATGAAGCGGACCTCGGAAGATATCCTTAACTACTTCACCTTGCAGGCCAAGAAGAAGGTGATGGAGAAATGTCAGCTGGCCTTCTCCTGGCTGAGTCCAACTGGATGGCTGAAGAGGAGGAGGTCACGCCCTATGAAAATGGTCTCGGGGAACTCCCTCCCAGGACTTAAACGCCTCAGTAACAGCACCACGGGCATCAACAGAACAAAACCAAACAAGTTCGTGGTCACCACTTGCAGCTGGACTTTCCAGTTTACCCAAACTACCACTGTGATCTACCCATAGGAAGTCCTAGCAGAGACCAAGGAAGCTAGGCTGGCTGGTTGCTGTTGATTTACCTGGATTTACCATCTGATAGAGCCAATTCATAAATGGGACCCCTCCATGAATAACAGCCATCGGCCTCAATAAATTCTGCTTCTCCTACATGTCTGTACAGGTGCATTTACTAATTACTGGGCAAATAGCACGCTCCATGGAGTGTATGCCACAGATGTATTTGGGCTGCGAGGTTTAAAGGAACCTAAGAGAGTTAGGTGCCAAATCCCATTGAACTTCACTGGGAGTTGGGCACTTAATTTCCTTAAACTCCTCCAAAATACTAGCCTTGGCGTCACAGTCTGTCAGTTGTATAGGGACTTTTGAACAGGTTTGTGTGTTTAATGTAGAACCTATAGAAAATGTCTCCTTTCCAAAGGATAACCTAGAAATTTCCAAATTTTAGGGAGAGATTCTAGTCTGTTATGCTAGGGTAAATCTGAAGTGACTCCATTGAACCTAGCAGAGTAAGGAGCAGATTCTGATCTCAATTACACTGGGGTAAAACTGGAGTAACTCCAGTTAAGTCAAAATGGTTAGGTACAGATTTTGATCCGCTACCCAGATGTAAATCTGTATTGACTCCGGAGATGCGTATCTTTTCAGATATATCCCCTCTTATTTGTCTCCTCTGTAATCTAAACAGCCTATATCTTTTATAAACTGATTGAGTGTCCAGACCTCCAAAACAATTCCTTAGCTACTTACCTTTGGATCTCTTCTTTATAAATATATCAGAGGGATAAATACCAGGGAGGGAGAGGAATTATTCAAGCTTAGTACCAATGTGGACACAAGAACAAATGGATATAAACTGGCCATTAGGAAGTTTAGACTTGAAATTAGATGAAGGTTTCTAACCATCAGAGGAGTGAAGTTCTGGAACAGCTTTCCAAGGGGAGCAGTGGAGGCAAAAGACATATCTGGCTTCAAGACTAAGCTTGATAAGTTTATGGAGGGGATGGTATGATGGGACAGCCTAATTTTGGCAATTAATTGATCTTTGATTATTAGCAGGTAAATATGCCCAATGGCCTGTGATGGGATGTTAGATGAGGTGGGATCTGAGTTACTACAGAGAATTCTTTCCTGGGTGCTGGCTGGTGAGTCTTGCCCACATGCTCAGGGTTTAGCTGATCGCCATATTTGGGGTCGGGAAGGAATTTTCCTCCAGGGCAGATTGGCAGAGGCCCTGGAAGTTTTTCGCCTTCCTCTGCAGCATGGGGCATGGGTCACTTGCTGGAGGATTCTCTGCACCTTGAGGTCTTTAAACCACGATCTGAGGACTTCAATAACTCAGGCATAGGTTAGGGATTTGTTACAGGAGTGGGTGGGTGAGAGTCTGTGGCCTGCGTTGTGCAGGAGGTCAGACTAGATGATCATAATGGTCCCTTCTGACCTTAAAGTCTATAAGTCTTCAGTTTCTTCTATAATATGCCAAAATTACTAGATGTGGGGAAAATGTTTGCTATGAAAAAGAAAAAAATCACCAAAAATTGTCAACTCACCCGTGTGCTCTGTGTCAAATATAAAACTCATACGTTCAAAGACGGGTCGAGATTCATGATCCTCTAAAAGCCCAAATTGTTTTTTAGTGACTGCAGTCCAGGGACTAAAAGCCCTGGAAATCTGGGTTCCCAGCATACTTTGCAAATACAGCCTGCACTCTGCATTGTTCCTGCAGAGCCATCATTGCTCTCTGTAGAACATGAATTCAAGCTGGCATCCTGCTGTGAATGAGGAAAGAGCTCATTTCAGAATCATCCCAGCAAATGGTAAAATAACGGAAAGCGGTCTAACAGCGCGTGAAACATGGCAAGGAAATGCTATGCTGCCCTCTGCTGGGCGGATCCATCTCTCAAGTGGTGAAGGCCTGTTCTTTAAAGGAGGAAGATGGGCTGAGGAATGACCCTGGTGTCGTCTGCTCTAAATGACAGCCCTCTACTGCTTGAACTACATGAAAATTCTTAAAGCTGGTAAAAATAGAAGGTCACATAGGCCTTGTCAGTGCACAAATTGTACTATACCAATGCAGTTCAAATGATATAATCCCTGCTCACCTCCAGTGTGGATGCAGTTATACCAGCATAAAGGTGTTTTATACTAGTTGAGTTTATTCCTCTTCGGCAAGAGGAATACTTTTCTGGTAGAAAGAAGAACAGGAGGACTTGTGGCACCTTAGAGACTAACAAATTTATTAGAGCATAAGCTTTCGTGGACTACAGCCCACTTCTTCGGATGCATATAGAATGGAACATATATTGAGGAGATATATATACACACAAACAGAGAGCATAAACAGGTGGGAGTTGAAAAAAAACTGGTAGAAATACACTTATGCCTACTTCTACATTAGAGGTTGTACTGATAGAACGATCAGTTAAAAACATATCTCTAACTAGGGAAATACAAAAACTGTTTAGACCAGGCCTTAGTCTTTCTCTGGGGCCATTTGGTCTGGTGTCCAGGAGGACACAGGACAGGTTATGGACTAACCAGCAGATGAGAGCTAGTTCAGGGTTCTTGATGGAGACAAGGGGCTAGGATACCTCCATCCAGAGGTTAACGCCAGAAGAAAGGCAGGTCTTTCTCCATGAAGAAGAGGAAAGGAGTCAGCTGTCACAGTTCCTGAGATAACTGAACCTGTGACTGGAACAGAGCAGATAACTGATTTTTGAACCCAAAAATCCAGGTGTGAAAAAAAAAGTTTGGTTTGCTTTGAACCTTTTTCATTTAGGGTGTTTTTCACCCTTTTTAAAAATTTCTTTTTTTAAAAAAATCTGAATTTCAAAACGAAGCGCTGTTTTGAAATTAAAAGTTGCATTTAGTTTTAAAATGGCAGAAATAAACCATTTAGATGTTTTCAGCTCTTTTCCGGCCAAAACTATTTGCTGAATTCAACCTGAATTTGTGATGAGTTTCAGTGTCCTAAAAATGTATATATTGGTGTATTTACTATTCATTGAAAATGTAATCTACTTCTGACCCCTTTGTGGCCTCCTTGAGGGCTGTGATGCTGGCAGACCAGGTCATGTCAGAGGGTATTGAGGCCAATTCATATTTGTATGAGTATAGATCAAAGTGATTGTTAAATGGGTAAGTGTATAGGGACTTTAAACTTCATGAAAACGAGTGGAATGTTACTTGCATTGTTTCCACTTATTTGTATCCTGTTGCAATGCAATAACATTTATGATGTGTATACCCCTGTAACTAAATAACCCATCAAATGCAAATGAAGCTTTGTGGAATGCAAATGAAGGAAAGGCTAATTTCAAAGCAAATGGCCGTTCCTCACTCACCTTTATCAAAGGAAAAGCCACATGAGTAGTGTCGTCTGTCAGCTTGTTTTCTGTGAGAAAAAGCTTGAAAGATGGATTCTGGAAAAGATCCTTCAGCTCTGGACCATATGGACTCTTACAGGGAAGCGTACCAGATAAAAGGCGGAGATCCCCTGAGAGAGTCTGGGTACCCTGACCAGACTTTTGGGAAACTGGCAGTTTATTACATCACTGCCATCATTTGGAATTACAAACGGTGATTCACCTGTACATATATTTTACCTGCTTTAACATCTCAATAACGCTCATTTCTTTTTCTTAGCTAATAAATCTTTAGTTAGTTTACTACAGAATTGACTATTAGCGTTGTCTTTGGTGTATGATCTGAGTACAGTACCAATTGTTCTAGGGTAAGTGACCGGTCTCTTGGGACTCAGAGCAACTTGATGTGGTGTGAATTTTGGTTTAAGTGACCATTATCACCAAGTTTGGTTTGTCTGGGTGACCAGAGAGGCTGGACAATCAAGGGGACAGTCTGTGACTCCATGCTAAGACTGGGATAGTGATCCGGGAACTCACATTTGTTACTGGTTTGGTGAAATCTGATTATAGAAGACACCGCCAGGTAGGGGTGTCTGCCCCGTTTTTTGACAGTCTGCCCTAAGGTTGGCACTCACAGTTGTGAGCCACTAGAGACAGCGTGACAAGGGTGTCCCATTTAGTCCTCAGGCCTCTAGCCATCACCTTTTTCCAGGTGTGATCCCACAATCCACTCCCTCCAGATGGAGCACGGAGTTGCGGAAACCTGCAATTCACTGTAATCACCTCAACAGGCCTGACTTTAATTCAGCCCCTGCAGTCCCGTTCTCTCAGGGGCAGTGACAAGGTCAGCCAGGGACCAGCCAGCTCTCCTAGAACAAAGTACTGTTGATTCAGAAGCATTTCAGAGAAAGGTTTCAGAGTAGCAGCCGTGTTAGTCTGTATCCGCAAAAAGAACAGGAGTACTTGTGGCACCTTAGAGACTAACAAAATTTATTAGAGCATAAGCTTTCGTGGACTACAGCCCACTTCAGGTGCCACAAGTACTCCTGTTCTTATTTCAGAGAAAGTAGATGATGATTTCAGAGAAAACATACCAGGAAACCAAGCATTTATTTGCAGGTCTAGCTTACCAGGCAGTGGCACATCTTCCCCATTGGGATTAAAATACTTCAGACCCTTTCTGCAGCGTCTGTCTCTCTTGATCACAGTTTCATGTTGGTCCTTAGCTCAAATCTAAGAGTCCCCCCACTGTCTGCGTCAGGGTGGTGGTTTTATACCGTTTTCAGTTCTTTGTTTGCCAGGCCATTTGAGTGTATCTATGCAACTTTGCGAGGACCAAACTTTTCCAGACTTGTAACTTGCCTTAGGGATTGGCATTATTCTTCCACGGCCCCCCAGGGAAACCTTGTAACTCCCCCATTGAATTAGGAATCTAATCGCTAGCCAATAAAGATACATGTAACATCAAGTTGATGCAATAGATTTTGGTGATTCCATGTGTCCATAGTATCTGTCACATCAGGCCATGGGCGCGCACGAGCACCATGTGTCCTTCCCAGACCAGCTGAATCTGGACCTGGCTGTAGGGTGACCAGATGTCCCAATTTTATAGGGACAGTCCCTATTTTGGGGGCTTTTTCTTATATAGGCACCTGTTAACCCCCACCACCTGTCCTGATTTTTCACACTTGCCCTCTGGTCACTCTACCTGGCTGTCTGTCTGGTTTGGAGTTGTCTTGGGATGGTTGTGTGGAGCCCACCATGTGCCTCCCTGTCTCCGGCTCTTACAGCCCACAGGTGCAATGAAGCCAGGTGGAAAAGAGCTGGGATCCAGGGTCAGGAGAGAATCATAGATGACCGTGTAGGACTGGGAAGGGACATCAAAAGGTCATCAGATCCAGTCTCCTGCACTCAAGGAAGCACTATGTAATAACTAGACCATCCCTGACAGGTGTTTGTCTAACCTGTTCTTAAAAACCTCCAATGATGGAGACTCCACAACCTCTCTAGGCAATTTACTCCAGTGCTTAGCCACCCTGAGAGAGCTTACTTCAGCACAGCTCTACGTCCAGTCTCCAGTCATCGGACAAAAAGGGGGGTTAGTGGATTAACGATCGTTGTAATAAACCATAAATCCAGTGACTTTGAATCCGTGATTTTTAATGGCTAGCGAAGTTATGAATGGGAGCTTCAATTCATAATGTTGTCCTATGACTGTAGAGGTGTTAACTGGCCACTTCCCCTTGACTGGTCCCTTGAAATAGGAGTTAGCTACTTCTGCTAAACAATCTATTCCGCCTTGTATTTAGCTGACACACCCTGAGTACCTTTCCCAGATTTCTGAGTAAGCTGAAAAGCTGGTCTCTCTCACCAATAGCCAGTCAAGTCCAATAAAAGATGTTCCGTCCCTGCCCCCCGGCTTGTCTTTCTTCTCCAGCTCAGCGGTGGACAAAAGGCACCTGTGTCAATAATGTCATCTGATGCCTGTGGAAAAGAAAAGCCATTAGTGAAAGTGACCCTGCAGCCAATGTTCCCTCTCATTTTTCCCATCTATGTGCGGAATGAAGGTTATGTGCACCAACATGGAGGTGATGTGTAGTGGGGGTGGGGCCGAGGGGGTTGGGGTGCGGGAGGAGGCTTAGGGCTGGGGCAGAGGGCTGGGATGCAGGGGGGGGGTAAGGACTCTGGCTGGGGGTGCAGGCTCTGGTATGGGGCTGGGGATGAGGGGTTTGGGGTGCAGGTGCCCGGGGCTGCAGCAGGGAGAGAGGACCCCCTCCAGCCCTCTCCCCACCTGCAGGAGCCCTGGGGGAGAGACGTCTCTCCTCTCTGCGCTGCTGCTGCCCCGGGGCTGGGGGAGTCGCCGAAGCTCAGCACGCCCCAAGCTTGCCTCTCACCCCACGCCCCTGAGTGCAGTGTGCACGGCTGCGCACCTTGGAGGGAACGTAGCCTGCAGCGATAGCATGATGGGCTGCCTGTGCATCATCATCCCAGCGACTCCATATCACGGGGATGCTGTTATAGGGTGACCACATGTCCCGATTTTATAGGGACAGTCCAGATTTTTTGGGTCTTTTTCTTATATAGGATCCTATTACCCCCCACCTCCTGTCCTGATTTTTCACATTTGCTGTCTGGTCACCTTACGCTGTTTACAAGTATCACAATGATTTCCCCCCCCCCAAAACTGCAGGTTCCCCCAGAAGTTTGTCTGCAGAGACAGCCAAATGCTGCTGCTGTTTTGGAGAAGGGGGGCTCTCAGCTGCCAACACTGGGGCTGGAGGGGCAGCTCCCACTGCTGAGTGGGGAGGCAGCTTTTGCACCCATTTATGGAGCCCCCACCCCCACTGTGGTTAGGGTGTCCAGCTCTGGGGGGGAGGACAGGGGGATGGACTGTCATGGGAGCAAATGTACTGATGTGGGAGGGTAAAAGTTTGCAGGATCAGGTGCAAAAGGGGGAAGTGGAAGTACCCAAATGCTGCCAGGTACAAAGGGAACAAACTGGAAGTAATGGGGGTAGGGAGGAGATGTTCTCTCCCAGTGCTAGTGACTGTGGCTTGTACCATAGGAGGGGAAATTTTTGTAAGTAGACGGGTGCCTTTTAAATGGGTGAGGTCCCTTTAAGCCTAAGTTTCAGTTTCCTGGACTCATTTATTTCCTTCTAGCGGAAAGTGAAGAGCCTGTCGACAAAAGAAACGAAACTGGGAGAGATTAAACGAACAGCAGCAGGGGAAGAGCTTGGGTGAAGGGGTGGAGACAAAGGGATGGGGATAAAAAGGGGCAGCTGGCTGGGTTGGGTCCTGTAGCAGCTACATCCGGATCTGCAGGGAGGCTGCTTGTCCTCGGCTCCACTGGGTACAGCTGTGCAAGGTAAAAAGGAGGCGCAAGGTGTCTGCTCTGTAACGGGGTAAATGCAAGGTCATTGCATTGAGCTGGAGAGAGAGAGAGAGACACTCTGGCTTGAGCAGGGAATTTAGGATTTTAAACTCGTAGGAGTGACGTTTGGGGTTGAGAAGGAATTTTCCCCTGGGTCAGGTTGGCAGAGACCCTGGGTTTGTTTGGTTTTTCCCCCCCCTTCCTCTGCAGCATGGGTCACTTGCAGGTTCAAACTTGCATAAATGGTGGCTTCTCTGTAACTTGAAGTTTTTAAATCATGATTGGAGCACTTCAATAACCCAGCCAGAGGTTGGGGGATCTGGCCCATTACAGGAGTGGGTGGGTGAGGTTCTGTCACCTGCAGCGTGCTGGAGGTCAGACCAGATCAGTGGTTCTCAAATAAGGGTATGGGTGCTCGAGGTATTCCAGGGGGCACTCGATCATCTAGATCAATGTTTCTCAACTGGAGGGATGCAGTCCCCAGGGCAGGGGTGGGCAAACTTTTTGTGTCGAGGGCCACATCTGGGTGGGGAAATTGTATGCAGGGCTGGGGCAGGGGGGTGGTGTGCGTGAGGGAGTGTGGGATGTGGGAGGGGGTGCTGTGTGCAGGAAGGGGCTCAGGGCAAGGGATTGGAGCGGAGGAGGGGTGCGGGGCATATGAGGGGGCTCAGGGAAGGGGGTTGGGGTGCTGGAGGGGTGTGAGGTGCAGGCAGGGGGCTCAGGGAAGGGGGTTGGGGTGCAGGGAGGGATGCAGGGTGCAGCAGGTGGCTTGGTGCAGGGTGTATGAGGGGGCTCAGGGAACAGGGTTGGGGTGCAAGAGGGGTACAGACTGCGGGAGGGGGCTTAGGGCAGGGGGTTGGGGTGCAGGAGGGGTGTGAAGTGCAGGCAGGGGGCTTATGGCAGGGAGTTGGGGTGGGGTGCAGGAGGGGTGTGAAGTGCAGGCAGGGGGCTTATG